GATTCTGCCAAAACCCAAAACATAAAAGTTGTGGGCCTTTTCCTTATCTTTCCAGTTCTTCCTGAAATGTCCAAATCGGAATCCGGAATTAAGAGTTATGCCCATATCACTGATCGGTGCCGAAACTGTGCAAAGACATCCGATTAGCCTTGTTTTCTTCCAATCGCCTATCTGCTTGCCCTGAATTGAAATACAAGAGTAATGAGTCCAATTAGGTACCAATTACGTGCAAAATACTAAATATTGAGGGATAAAGATATGCCAAATTTTATTCTCATCAAATACCGATATGGCCAAGACAGTAATGCCACAGACACGTGGGAGTAACAATATCACAAGTTCTCTTGGGAACGCCAAAAGACGTAGTTTCAGCTATGTTGGTTTTCAGAGAATGATGCAGAACATAGAGACCGTTCTCCAATTCCCCGTATGCGATGAATTTGTTGTTTCTTTTAATAGTAATCATATTACTAAAGAAAACAGAATATCCATCAGCACACAATTTTGAGACAGAAATCAAATTTCTTCTTAAATTATGTACATAAAGACAATATTTAAGTACAAGTGATCATTCTCTAAAAAATAATTCTACGGTTCTGATGGCCATAGCTGCAACGCTTGCAGAAGTTCCCAAGAAGAGCGGTATCTCTCCTTCACTCAGTCTTCTGCTTATTCTGAAACCTTGCAATGTGTTACATGCATGAGTCGAAGCCCCGGAGTCAATACACCAGCAAGCAGAAGTAACCAACAAATTGGTTTCTATGACACAGGATTCGGGATTACTTTTCTTGGATTCCAGGTAGGCAGGACAGTTCCTTCTCCAGTGGCCGGTCTGGTGACAATGGTGACAGGCATCGGATGCCTTGTCGTACAACCTGATGCCCAGATTGGACTTAACATTTGTGAACATCCAAATTGAATTTGAACTTCACTTCATGGCTGAAATGGAGTGAAGCCACAACCCATCAAAGAAAATAGCATGGGAGTGATGGGCCTCCAAAGTTCAAGAAACACAACAAGACATGACTCACACCCAAAATGAAGACAATCTAGGTACATTTTACGAGAGAGAGGGAAGGTATTAGGCACCCCTCTCCCACAATTGATAAGTAGTACCATTCCCCTAATTTAGTGAAAAGAAAAAAAAATGGAAAGATTTAAGTCCACAAGAACGCTAGTAATTTTATGCATGAAAGAGGGTGATTGTCATAAAGGATTCTTCCCTCAAATGATTTACCCCTCCCATTCTCAATTCGGGTGTGGGAAACCCTTAAAGGAGCAAAGGATTTGGCAACAACATGCCACTCTCCTTCTTTGTCGAAGGTTCCCTTCATTCCTACCAAGCAAATGGGAAAGGGAAAGCACAAGTGATTCAATCTCCTATGAAAATCCCTTCCAATTGTTATTTCCAATATAAAAAAAAAATCAAGAAAGAAATCATTTAACCTAGACTAAATCAAATTGAAAAATTATGAAAGTGAATAGATTTCAAAACTGAAACAAATTCAAATTCAGCCAAAATAAAACACTATAAGACAAGGGATATTCATTCAAAGTGATTAAATAATGTTCTAATGATTCCTACATCTATCCACCATGAAAAACTACTCAAAATAATTACATAATGTCACCTACATGAAAAGGGTTACATGCTGAAATTAGAGATACCTATGATACCAATAAAGTTCAAGAAAAAATGTATAGAAAAAGAAAAGAATGAGATGAGAAGCTCATATCTTTGTGGCCTTTTGACAAACAATTAGTGATGGATGATATGAGCTGAAATGTTGATGGTGCTGAAATGCTTGATGGTCTTCTTTGCTTGGGCCGAAATCTAGTTTTCTTCTTCCTTTTACTCCTTCACATGGCTAACCCTCTTTAGCATTGCCCTTGCTTCTCTCTTGGTTGAATGGCTTGTCTTGGCTTCTCTTGGTCGAATGAGATGGTTTCCCTGAGATTTTGGTCGTGAGATGGTGGTGGATAGGAGACTTTGGTGATAGAGTGAGAAGGGAGATAAAGGGATTTCGGTTTTGCTTTGGGTGTGAGAAAGGTTAAGGGAGAAAGGAAATGGGGATTTTGGTTCAGGTTAGAATGTGAGAGAGAGAGAGAGAGAGAGGAGGAGGAGGAGGAGGAAGAGGGAGGAAGGTAGAGATTTCAGCTGTGGTGTTGTTGGTTGAAGGTGGATGAAGGTTTTCTTAGTAAAGTTTGGTCAGGAAGATTGGGAAGGATGGGGAGGAGAGTTAGGAGAGAAGGTGAGGTTCGATTAGGGTTTCTTTACCTGGCCAAAATTGAGGAGATCTTTTCCTTCTCTTCTTCCTTCTTCCTCTTTCTTCTTCTTCCTTATTCCTCCTTCATTTACACGAAAATGGGATGTTCTCTTCCCCTTTTTTTTTGAGGGGCTGAGATCGAATAGGGGTTAGAGATGGAGGAGAATGGGGGAGTGAGTGAGAGAGAAGGATGAGGCTAGGGTTTTTGGTTGTTGGGTATGAAGGAGAAGAGATGAGAGCCAAGGAGTTCGGTGGTGGAGGAAGGAGGTTGAGAGAGAGGAGGAAGGTGGAGTTCGGTAGGAAGAGTCTTGGGGAGAGAAGACCGAATGTGAGAGAATCCCTCTTCAAAAAAGATGGTTTTTTTACTTGTCTTTAGGGTTTTTTTATTGGGATAGGGTTTGCTAGGTTGGTTCAGTTAGGGATTGGTTTAGTCTCATTAGAACCAAACTAGACTTAGCTTGGTTAGGTTTGGACTGAATTGGAAAGGGTTTATGGTCTAGTTTGGTTTAAGAAAGAATGGTTAGGGTTTTAGGGTTTTGGGTAAACTCTCAAAATGATGGATGGCTAAGATGATTTGGTTCCCATCTAATGGCTAGGAGGATTGCCACATATATTTTTCTTTTTCTTTTTCTGTCATGGGCTCTTCCTCCCTCTTTGACCGAATTTAAGACTAGGGGACAACATACCTTCAAAGGCTCCCCCCCTTGTCTCCCTTATTTATGGCTAA